ATTGGAGGTTGATAAAATCAACTATTCAAATTTGATTGAAAAATTTTTTTTTTTTCATGTAATCTTCATATACAAGGAAAGTTTAATTTTGAAAAGTAGGACTCTTGAATTTTAAAGGAGAGAAAACTCTTAATGTAACAGCCAATAAATAGTGAATAGAGTAAAAAATAAGTTATGCACTTGTAGAATAGCCATATGGAGGAAATAGAGAATAGCAAAAAATTGTTTCTTGTTTTTTTTTATTACTCAACACTACTGACTCCACAGATAATTTCTCTTTCAATGACCATCCATGCAGAAAACACTATCATGACAATGTTCTCATAAAAAAAAAAAAAAATTATATAGTTACATTTTGGTCGACTTAACAGCTATTCTCTATGTTTTATTGCAATATTTATAGACATTTTTCTTTTTGTGAGACACACCAACAAATTAATGGCTGCCAAAATTGTTCAAACATCATATTTATTATTCCCAAAAATTTGATTATATTTTTTTTTATATGTTTATTAATCTATGCTGAAAAAATTTTAGGCCACAATATCAAAATAAGATACCTTGATAATGTTTGTTTTGTTTTACGGTATATCAACGTCAATGGGTCATTTAATGCCGACAACTTTTTTTTTTCCTGGTAATATTTTTGTTTTGTCAAAAATCTATTTCTGTTAATATTTTTTTCCTCAAAAATGTATAGCTGGTAATATTTTTTTAAAAATGTATTGTTGGTAATTTTTTTTTTCAAAAAACATATTGCTGGTAATAGTTTTTTTTTTTTCAAAAAGTTTTTTTATTTCTGGTAATAATTTTTTTTACAAAGTATTTCTGGTATTAAAACCTATTTTTACACTTTTATAATGCTTTTTACCTCAGTTTCAGGGTTAACTATTTGCCCATAGCTGGGACCCTAACAGGTGCTACCACCCTGGGTCAGGGTGGACCTGGGAACACCAGCAATTATCAGGTGGTTCCACGCTCCTCAAAGCCTCCTGATCAGAGGCCTTGCTGTTGGACGTTTATCGTCTTACCCTGGACGCAAATGTAGTTTATTGTCATACCCAGGACCCTTGATAATGGGGTAACTTGCTAAATGTGCTAACAAGAATGCAAGAGTATCCAGATGATTTGAAATTTACATAAGCAGTTTGCTGAAGCTCATGTGATCACTGTAGGCATCCCCCACCCCACCAGGCTCTCTTCTCAGTCCTCACTCTGCTTTGTATTAATCTACCTAAAAACATTCTCAGGTCATTGGCAAATATCTATGCAGATGGTGCCACAGTTTTGAACTTTGCAGCCAATCAAGTCTCTGACCAAAAGTGCTAACAGCTCACTAGGGAAGAAACAACTGGCTTGCTACTTTCAATACCTCTGAAACCAAGTTAGTATTGTTTCATTATCATCATTCAGACTGAGGTTTTCCAGTCACAATCAATGGTTCTACTCTCAAAGAAGCCCTCTTGCTTTGAGTGTCTATTGAGACTAAAGTTCACTTCAAACCTCAAGTGGAACTCATATATAAAATCCATTGCTAAAGATGCTGGAAAATGGTCACTGCTTGTTCCATCGCTCAAAGATGCACCTAACTTTTTTCTGCAATGCTTTATCTTTACAAGAGTAAGATTAGGCCAAAAATGGAGTGTTGCTGCCATATCTGGCATATCTGGGGTAGGGGCTGTTCAGTCCCCATTTTCTAGATTTAATAGATTTCAAAATCTTTTACACGATCTTGTCTTGCCACTTTGCAACCTCTTTTCCTTCACAAACTCAACATTGCAATTTCTAAATGTTCAGATGAGCTCCATTCTTTAGTTCCATTAATGCAGGCCTTTACATGCCATGCTGTTTCCACAAAGTCAAATCACCATTATTTCCTCCATATTCCAAATGTCAGGAGAAGGTTCCACACAAACAGCCCCACCCCCAAGAACTGCTATTTTTAGTCCAAATAAAGTATAATAATAATTACTCTTAAAAAATTCCAATTAATCATAATAGTTTTGATCTTTAAATTAATTTTCAAAGATTGTCTTGTCTAATTAAAAACAATTAACAGTTAAAAACTTTCAATATTTGACAAATTTTGCATAACTTAAGATTACTTAATTCAGTAATATATTAACTTATTACTTAAAGGTTATATGTATTAAAACTATTAAACATGCAAAAGTTTTCATTGTCCCTTTTTTAAAACTAGAAACTAAAATAAACAGCAGAAACCAAAACTGTGGGAGACTTTTGCACTGAACAAGTTCCTAAAATATAAGTTAAGGACTGAACATTTAATAATGAAGTTTAATATATTAATATATGAAGTCCTTATATTTTAAAAAATTGTTTCTTCATTTAATGGACTTTTAATATAAAACCATTTTATGCTGAGAAAAACTAAAATGTATCATTAAAGATTTCAGGCAAATTAAATAGACAATTTAAAAAAAATATAAATGCAAGGATAGGGTAATTTTTTTAAGTGGACAATTTACACACAACTTACCTCAATTTTTCTTTCAGTCTTCAAGTCTTTCTGTTTGGCAGCAGCATTCATTTCTGAGGATTTTGCCATCTGTAGAAATAAAAAAGAATTTTACAAAAAAAAAAATACATACATTATATATATAGGAAATATATATATATATATATATATATATATAGATGTTAGATAGAGAGAGACAAGAGACAGATAAACAAATGGGATTTGAAAAAATTGTTCACATAAAAAAAAAAAAAATGGTAAGTTTTTTTTTTTTTTTTCAAAATGAATGCATTTCAGTATTTTTCTTCATTGAAAAAAGGAAAATAAAAATATCAAAGTAACAGAAAATTTTATTTTTATTTGTCCTCTTTTTATCTCATTGTTGGCCATTGTGAAACCAACTCAACAAAAGTTATAAAATCAAATAATTTTTTTTTATCCATAAAATTATTTACAATTTTTAATATTTTAATGAGAAAAAAAAATTCTTAATAGTTTCTTGACACAAAGAACCAAAATAAAAGTCAATTTTTATCTTGAAAAGTTCCTTAACTTTCTGATTTCTTATTTCCAATATTAATAATTCCAAGGTGTCAATGTAATAAAGAAATAAAAATTATAAATGAATCAAGAAAGCAATTGTCTAAGCACTAAAAAAAAAAAAAAAAAAAAAAAAAATTAAAATCAGAAATCTTTTGGATATGGACACAAAGAGAGTTTAAACTTATCAGCCCAATAAAAAAAGTTCTATAACAATAACAACAAAAAACAAAACAAAAAACAAAACAAATTTAGTACATTATGGAATACATCAAGTGAATAAAATTATTTGGGGCTTACTTTTACATAAGATCTTCAATTTTGATAAATGATTTTAAACTTATTTTAATTGCAATACATTGGACTCTGCAAAGAATTTCATTTGTATGTTGCCTCGGACATAAGAGACAAGCAGTAAATATAATACTATTAAGTCTTAAAGTAATATAACTTCAAACATTTTAGTGGAGACTTAGTTTTTGAAATAGACACTCCATTTTTAATAAACAGTGTTTTAGTCTGCATATTCCATTTGAGAAATCTTACTAAAGAAAATTGGGTGTGAAAGAACACTTCAATGTCAAATTTGACCATTGCAAGACCTCATACTGCAGAACTTTACTAAGTTGTATGGAATTTGATCCACACACAGTGGATATGCTATATTCAAACCAAGGACACTTGGTTTGACAAACACAAATATGAAACCAACAGTGATCATGCAGTGTTTATTTATAGGACCGCATAGTGTCGATCTATAAATGCTCCATTTCTGACAGTGAACCCTCTTAGTCTAGAAAAGAGTAGCAAATTTTTATACATGTAATAGAATGTCCCACTCTCCCTATTGCCTATTGTGAACTGACTATATCAGTGTGTGTGTGTGTGTATGTATATATATATATATATATATATAATGTGCACAGGATATACTGGGGACTTGGTTCAGGAATTACTAGCTTGCTAATAGATTCCCTGTCTTTCAGTAGTGTATTCTCTTTTACAATAAACCTCTCTTTCTTTTGTCTATGTCCATGTTGGTGTTCCTTTCACTTGAGTACCACCTTTGTCTGTTTATAACCTTCTTTAAGGATATAAGGATATATATATATATATATATATATATATATATATATATATGTGTGTGTGTGTGAGAGAGAGAGCATATGTGTAAAAGGGCAATATGAATAAAGACAAAAAGAAAACTTATCTCAACTGACATATTTCATCCTCTGGGGGGACCTTATCAAGGCAAATGTATTTGACCCAATAAAGTCCTTCAGAGGACAAAATGTGTTCACCAAGATAAGTTTTCCTTTTGTCATATATTTTTTGGGCAGAAACCTTTATTTTCAGCATGTTTCGTTGAATTTGACAGAAAAGTTTGTTTTATTATATTTAGTTTTTCCAACATGCTTACATTTTTCTATTTGGTAGGAGTAAGGGAGTGTAAAAATTATCTATATTGTCCATTTCACTGCCCAATACAAAATTGTGTTTCTTGTTATAAATCAATGATCTATATTGGACATACTACCATCCACTTCAGTAGACACCTCACATGTCACTGTGCAAGAGAAAATGGACAATACAGCCAATTTTTGTTTTCCTTTACTCTCACCAAACAGAAAAATTTAAGAAAGTTGGAAAAAAAAAAAAAAAAAAAAAATTAAATTTTTTTTTGAGTCTGTCTATATTTCAATGAGATACTGTATTAAGGTAGTGGAGAACTTTCAGAGGGAAAATTAGCAGGAGATAACTGACATCCATCAAACATGACACGTGGAATATAGAACAGTTTACCCCAGTGATCGAAATAAAGGGTTCAAAAAATTCCAAATGCACCTGAAGAAATTGAGTGTTTTTTCAAAAAATTGTGACAAATAACAACAAAGATGAGGACAATAGTCCGACTAATGTAAATACTGTAATTTTTTTTTTTTTGTCTGTCATATTTAACAAAATATGTTTAATTTGTGGTAAACATTTAATCTTATTGAAATATTGAGCTACAATATAGCAGAAACAAAACCTGCTATCCTACTTCAAAAATTACCTTATGTATCCATGTAGAAACAAATATATTTCTCACATTATACACCCTGCACTAGAATTATTCAAAAGTGTGCCAATTGAGAAATTATATATATATATATATATATATATATATATATATATATATATATAGGTAACTATACTAGTCTTGAAAAACCTTTAAATTTTTGATTTGCCAATAATCAATCTCGAAGGAAAAAAAGGTTTAAAAAAAAAAAAAATAAAAAAAAAATAAAGCCAGGAACAAGAAAGTCAAAAAAAAAAAAAATCGCACAGATACAGGTTCAAAGCCCAAGCCCAAAAAAAAACCCCGACACGAGTAAACAACTAACTAAAAAAGAGCTCAATACAATTAGAGAGCAGACCTAGTGAGCAAAAAATATATAAATAAAATATATATATATATATATATATATATATATATACACACTATAGGAAAGGGGTTTTTTTTTTTTTTTTTTTTAAAAGTGGCTGGGTTTTGCTTATAACGCATTGCTCTTCAGTTATGAATTGAGCGCTTTGACTACTGATTTGGCATTTATATACTTCATGTATATAATACGTTAAAAGATTCCCTTTCTCTGTCGTGTGCTGATAGCTTAAGGGTAGAGTCTCTGTCTGATGCCAAATTGGTTGAGTTTCGATCCCGGATTGAAGCAATTGGATGTCTAGCCATACTGATGAGCTGATACATGCTTGTATGTGAATGTATGTGTGTATATATATATATATATATGTGTGTGTGTGTTCCATTTATACGTTATTTTTATAGATATAAATTTTTCAAAAATTATAAACATGTTATAAAATCACTACAAAAATAGCCATTATGTTTCAACATTTCTGGTGTCTTCTCAAGTGATGGTGTTGAATGTAGGATCTACATTCAACACCATCACTTGAGAAGACAGTGATTTTATAACGTTTGTTATAATTTTTGAATATATATATTTAAATGCAATTATCAGGCCATGTGTATTGTGCCATGGCTTGATGATTTATATATACAGATCATTGGTGCATTATGGGTAGTAATGGTCTATTGTATTATCCTAACAGTTATTGGGTGGGCGGTAATTATTATATTTAAAATTATTCTAGAGATTATTGAAGAGAAATTATTGATTATTGTGGATCTGAATGCAGTTATTTTATGGTGTTTGATAACTTATTCACACACAAACACAAGTAGATGTAAATAACAATCAACAACAAACAATAAAATAATCAATAATAAATAAGGAGTAAAAAATTTAATGAACAAAATTATAAAATAGCTACAAATAACTGCATTCAGATCCACAATTCTTTCTACTCAATAGCCTCTAAAATAATTTGGAACATAACTTAATGCCTACCCAATAACTACACACCCTATCCCTGATACGGAGCACTTTAACCCATAAATATAGCATACCTTAAAAATATATATGTATTTGTGCACATCAGTAGAATGACTGCATTTCATGCACAACACAATCTTTGAAGTGCTTAAAATTGTGTTGGGCATGAAACTGAGTCATGCTATTGGTGAGGAAAAAATGTATATTTATTAATAAAATATATAGCTGTCATATTAGATCAAACACTATTTTATTCACACCAGCACTCAATGTGATTATATATATATATATATATATATATATATACACACATACAGGTAAAAATCCATGGTAAGTAATCCAAGTGAATCCTAGTAATATAAAATATCAAAACTGATCCACAGAAGAGCTCAATATATTTATTATAGAGCATATATGAATTACAAGTAAATAAAATTCAATACTCCATGATATACAGCCATTTTTGCAAAATGACCATATATCATATGGGGTATCAATTTTATCTATATATATATATATATATATATATATATATATATATATATATATATATATATATATATATAGCAACTGAATTATAGTGGATATCAAATTTTATCAATTGAGATTCTTTAAAATTTTCTTGGATTTTTCAAGTGGTCAAAAATCAAAATTAACTTACACTCAATAAGAAGACATTTAATAGTTCATAGAACAAATACATCTGACAATATTTCTGAGATGAAGTATTGTAACTATTTACAGTTTTTGGACTGTTGTCCTCATCTTTATTCCCATATTCACTCTGACCTTCTTCAGGTGATATACATTGGAATTTTGAACCAAACCATTTAGTCCATGGGAGTAGATTTTTCTCATTCCACGTGCTATACCTTTTCTGGATATTTCAGTTTCAGTTATTTTGCCTCAGTAACTAAACTCTCCAAGTTTTTGTTTCCTCTGCTGTGACCAGGTATTGAACTCACAAGTTTTTGGATCAAGTCAATTTGTAGATCAATCAACCACGCTCTTATCCACTAGGCCATGCTTCTTCATTATTAAAAGTAAGTTACAAGTTGAAAAGTTTATCCAATACTTTACTCTCATAAAATGCAACCTTCTGTTTAATCCGACATCTACATTTTATTTATTTTTTTTTTCTTTTTGTAAATC